CGCCGCCGCGCGTAGCGATGATAGCGACACGATGATTTCTTAATTTTCGAGTTCAAGTTTGTTCGGACGTCGCCTCGCGTTCGTCGATCACCACAAACGCTCGCGCCATGCTGCGCGTCTCGTTCGCGCGCCTCCTCGCGGCGTGCCTCGTCGTCCTGTGGTCGTCCACCCCCGTCGCGCGCGCGAGCTACGACCTGAACAGTCTCAAGCGCACCGCGGAGCTCGAGGAGCGGCTCCCGGGATGGCAGGGCGAGGTGCCGCGATCGGGGCCCGAGGCGGAGGCCGCGGGCGGAGGCGTCGGAGGCGTCGTCTCGACGCGTCCTGACGCGTACGGCGACTCCCCCGCGGGCGCCGAGGCTCGGAAAGACCACGCGCGAGGGACGTGGGTCGAGCCCATATCGTGGCATCCGAGGGCGTTCCACCTGCATAACATCATGACCGACGCGGAGTGCGACGAGGTGCTCGAGCTCGCGCGGACGCGCGTGCGACGCAGCACGGTGGTGGACAGCACGACGGGCGAGAGCAAGGTGGATCCCATCCGCACGAGCGAGCAGTGCTTCCTGAACCGCGGGCACTTCCCGATCGTGAGCGTGATCGAGAAGAGGCTCGAGCGGTACACGATGCTGCCGTGGTACAACGGCGAGGATCTCCAGGCGCGTCCGTCGCGCGTTCGGACGCGCGCGGATCGAGCGATCGACCGATTCGTCGTCGTCAGATCTCGTCGTCGTCGTCGCTGCCGTCGATGAAAAAAACGATTCGATCGATCCTCGCGTAGACATCCCGCGCGTCCGTCCGTCCACCCTCCTGACCGGTCAGAGACTCCGCGCTCGTTTCGTTTCACAGGTGTTAAAGTACAGCAACGGCCAAAAGTACGACGCGCACCACGACGTCGGCGAGCTCGACACCGCGTCCGGGAAGCAGCTCGCCGCGGAGGGCGGCCACAGAGTCGCCACGGTGCTGCTTTACCTCAGCGACGTCGACGACGACGGCGGCGGCGAGACCGCGTTCCCGGACAGCGAGTGGATCGATCCGACCGCGGACCGCGGGAGCGGCTGGAGCGAGTGCGCGGAGGACCACGTCGCGGTGAAGCCGAAGAAGGGCGACGGGCTGCTGTTCTGGAGCATCACGCCGGAGGGTGTCATCGACCAGCAGTCGATGCACGCGGGATGCCCGGTGCTTGGGAAGAGCGTGAAGGTGCCTACTATACACTGGTTCCCATACGACCCCGTCGGCGTGGTGAACGCCGATCCTTAAGGACTTTACTTCCCGGCGTGTCTCTCCGTCCACACCTCGCTTTCAATCCCGACACACCTCGACCCCTTTCAACTCCGCTTCTGACGCCTTTCAACTCCACCCCGATATCGTCGCTTTGTACGGAACGACCCTGAAGTGGACGGCGACGAAGTGGATTCACGCGCGGCCGTTCCGGCACCAGTTTCCGCCGCCGCCCGCGGCGCCGCCGGGGTGCGCGGACACCGTGGCGATGTGCAAGTCGTGGGCGAACAGCGGCGAGTGCAAGAAGAACCCGGGGTTCATGCTCGAGAGTTGCGCGTTGAGTTGCAAGTCGTGCGACGGGATGAAAAACGCGCCGGCTAAGATTAGGAGCGGCGCGGGGAAGGCGCTCAGGGGCGCCGCGGTGGGGGGGTTGTGAAGCGAAGCGCTGCGCTGACCGACCGCCGTAGGAGTACTGTAGCCGAAATCGGTTGTAGCGTTTGATGAACGCGCGCGCGAACGAGACGAAACGAACGAACACGGTAGAGTAACGCGCGACGTCGACGCGTTTTCGTTTTGTTCGTCGTTTGAAGCATACTGTATGTTATCGGCTTCGTACGAAAGTACTTTGTACAAGGTAATTAGCGCTGCCCTCGAGCATACTGTATAAGTTACTCCCCTCAATCAATCGTCGTCGTCGTCGTACGCGGGCTTCACCTTCTTCCCCTTCTTCGCGGGAAGCGACTTCCCGAGCGCGGACATCAGAAGTGGCGGCGCGAAGTTGGGCCCGTTGGCCGTCCCGCAGTCTTCGCAAAACGACAGCAAGATGGTATCGATGGCCATCTCGTACAGTCCGAGGAAAATGTCCGCGAGGAAGAAGGCGATCAACGCGATGAAGATGAGCGGCAGCACCGGCGACGAGATGTACGAGTCCGACGTCGGGTCCGTGTACTGGTCCTGGTCCAGGTACAAGAACCCGATGAACGTGCACGTGCCGGCGACGACGAGCTTCCCGAGCGCGGTGAGAAAGTCGCCGATGACGTTCACCGTGGCGACGCGCATGGCGTTCAAGATGAGCAGCTTGACCGCGGAGATGGCGGAGAAGCAGAACGAGTACCCCTTGACCGCGACGAGGATGTACGCGTTCCGGTTGATGTACTTCAAGACGCGCTCGAGGTACCACATGCAGTATCGAGCGCAGCACCTGGAGGTCGTTCCATACAAAGTGATGTCGGGGTGGAGTTCATAGGCGTCAGGTGGAGTTGAAAGGCGTCGAGGGCGGGTATTGAAAGCGAGGCGTGGGCGGAGAGACACGCCGGCAAAAGTCCATAAGGAACGGCGTTCACCACGCGAACGCGGTCGTATGGGACCAGTGTATAGAACGCACATGAAGTACTTGAGCACCGCGCTCCCCTCCTGCGCGTTCTTCGTCTTTCGGTTGATGTATTCCAGGATGAGGCGCACGAATTGAACCACCGCGACGATGAACGAGCCGAGCGCGATCGACCCGACGTGGTATCGCCACGTGCGCTTGATCGCGGTCTTGATCGGCGATCGCGGCATGTCGTCCCTCTGCCAGTAGTACGAAGCGATGGACCCGGCGGTGGTCATCAGCCCGACGCCGGCGATGAATTGCAAGCCCCAGAGCATGCCGAACAGAGTGTACGTCATCATGTACTGCAGCGTCTCGTTGAACTCCACGGAGCCCTGCCCCGTGCTCGCGTCCTTCTTTATTTCGCCGCTGGCGTACAGAAACGCCATCGTCATGACGACGAACCCCATGAACACGACGTTCATGAAAAAAGGGATGATGGGGGTGAGGAGGATGAGCGGCATCTCGGACATCGCCTGAGGGTCGTTCCATACAAAGCGACGATATCGGGGTGGAGTTCAAAGGCGTCAGAAGCGGAGTTGAAAGGCGTCGAGGTGTGTCGGGATTGAACTCGTGGGACCCTGGGCGGAGAGACACGCCGGCAAAAGTCCTTAAGAAACGGCGTTCACCACGCCAACGCGGTCGTATGGGAACGAGTGTGAGGAGAACGCGCCTGCGCCGCCACCTTGAGGACCGCGACCGCGATCAAGATGCGGCGGATCATGAGCAGCGTGAAGACGAAGACGATCGCGCATATCACCAACAGGCCGTACGTGAGGCCGACGAAGACGTCTTGGTTATCCTTCGCCGAGTCGTCGACGTCGCTCTCCACTCCGACGGAGTCAGAGCCGATGAGGCCGCCGCGCATCGCGCAGAAAAGCGTCACGAGCCACAGGATCGCGTTGATAGAGAAGATGGTCATCCACGCCATGACCCCGGCGAAGTACCGAATGAACGTGATCCACAAGCACGAGCAGACGAGGCCGCACACGAAGCCGCACACGACGATCGCCATCCACGCCTTGTACACGTCTTCGATGTAGTCGCTGACGCCGCCGCTTCCGGTGTCGAGCGCGTTGATGAGCGCCTTCAGAATGGAGACCGACAATCCGGAGGAACCACCAAACGCGCTCGGTGAAGATGTCTCGAGCGCGGTGTACATCGCGTCGGAGGGCACCGGGACGCATCGATTCAGGATCGGCGTGTACACGAAAAAGTTGGGATAACACGGCCCCTCCCCGTTGTTCGACGTCGTCTGCTGCGCCGACGCGAGCTTCGCGTAGTAGTTCACGTCCCAGTCCCCGACGCCGCTGAGCGTGCCGGCCACGCTGCTCTTGATATAGTACTGGCACGTGTACGTCTGCGAGGACTGCGTGAGCGAGGTGGACCCCTCGGTGGTGATGGTCGCGACGGGACACGACTCGACGCACACCGACTGCGCCGACGCCATGTTCGGTCCGTAGTCCTGCACCCTGGACCAGTGCAGGTACTTCCTCGTAGAGAAGTCCGGCGCCGCGCTCGCGGCGGCGTCGGACGTCCACGTTTTCGACGCCTTCGTGCCGCACAGGTACGCGGAGGAGTCGATGCCGTAGGCGAGCAGGTTGGGGTCGCCCTCGGTGAAGGCGGTGTATCCCACGATCACCATGCCCACCATGAACGCGGAGAAGATGAGGAGGAAGAGGACGTCCGTGCATCGGCGGTTCGTGATGAGCTGCGACGCGAGGATGGGGAGGACGCGGCGGCGGCGGCGGGGGGAGGGGGGGGGGGGGATGTCAGAGGCGACGACGGCTTCGATTTGGATTTCTGTTAAAGTCGTCGCCGCGGGCCGCGTGCGAATCAACGCACGAGCCGCGGGGGCGACGGATCGCGCGCCGCGGGGGGGCGCCGCGGACGCGACGCGCGGCGCGCGCGTGGGGC